CCCACCCTGCTCTCCCCACCCCACCAGCATTTCCTCTCCTGCCGTGCCCATCCTTCCTCCAGCCCTGCCACCTCACTGTCCAGCTGTATTTTGGTTCCAGCCACGGCCCCAGCTTCTCCAGAGCCCCCATGGGGATGGCAGCGTGCTGTGACCCAATGGAGGGTGACCCAAAAGGCTCCTGAGAGCCCCAAATTCTCCCTGGAACGCTGGGAATTCCTTGGCCCCAGGAATTTGCATCTTGCCTCCACAAGATCCTTGCTGGTCCTCCCACCTGGGCGAGGCTGGAAGGTGATGCTGAAACATTTGGGGTCTCTGGGGACTTGTGCAGCACCGGTGGCTCCTGCCACAGCCTCTCCCTGGAGGAGAAGGACCAAAACCGAGAGGTTTGGAGCAGATAACCTCTAACAGCGGTTTGTTTGCGATCTCGAGAGCAATTAAATTATCTCTATTCCTGCCCCCCCTTCCCATCCCTTGTCCAGGAGACAATAGAGAGCAGGAAATTAAGAGTGAACAAAGAGCCCCGCGCCGAGGCAGGGAGCTCCTCGCTTTCGCTTCGCCATCCCCTTCCCAAGGCGGATCTAAAGCCATCAGGTCCTGCAGCACCGGCAGAGTCGTTATCAGCCTCATTAATCTTTAGGAGGCAGGAAAAAGCTGCTTGTGCTGAAGAGGATGTGGGAATTAATGTCCCGGTAATAGCGGGAGAGGAGGGAGGGGGTGAAGGGGATCGGATCCCGGGGTTTGGTGCCCTGTGACCCTTCCGGAGCTGTTTTATCCTCTCCTGGCTGGTTCCTGTGCCCAGCAGCGATGTCCTTCCATCCTGGGGGCATCCCCAGCGCTGCCTCCCCGAATCCCTGCCCGGAGCAGGTGGCACTGCCACTGTCCCTGCTCACCAAGCACCCAGAGCAGCCTGGCCTGGCTGGCAGGGGTTTGTCCCAGCTGCAGAGAGCCCAAAGGGCTGGAACAGGGTGAGCACAGCGATCTCAGGGTGCTCCTGGTGCCTGGGGAGCTCCAGGGCTCCATCCCCTCCCTGCCTCTCTTTCTCTTCCACCTCTTTGGAAGCCGGGCCCGGGGAGCTGGGGGAACTCAGCCAGTTCAGCCTGGCTGAACCCAGCTCCGATCTTCATTAAAAACCCCATAAAATTAATGAAATGACGGCCCGGTGGGTATTGAGGAGCGGATCAGAGCTGATCTCCATGCAGGAGGAGGGCAGCAGCAGCTGCCTGAGTCAGGAAGCCATCCCCGAGCCTTTGGAAGGGATTTTGTTTTCATTCTGCCTGGTTTGGGGCTCAATTAAAGCCCAGAGCAGAGTGCCCTGGGTGGTCCCTGCTTTGGAGGGACGCTGCACCAGCAGCTGGTTTGGTGCTGGCAGATAAACTCCTCTTTGTCCTTTTGCCTGGGAAGCATCCCCAGCGCTGAGCAGCGATTTACTGGCAGGGCTGGGGAGAGCAGGAACACTCAGCCCCTTCCCACAGGGCCAAAATAACCCTGGCAGAGAGGCACGGGGGTTACGTGACCACTGAGAGGCTTTGAAATCCTCTCCAAGCTTTCTGCCGTCCCCTCCCAGCTGCTCCTCAAGAGTCCCTGTGGAAAAACAGAGCCCTCGACCCCTGTCCTGGAAATGAGTGTTGTAAGGAGCTGGGCTGGGATGCCAACGGAGGGGCAGGGTGAGCTGGCCTTTCTCCTGGATCCGGGGTGGGATGGAATGAAGGGGGCTGGGCTGGGCTAAACTGGGATGGGATGGGCGGGATGGGATGNTCTTTGTGTCGGGCACAGTCCCACCCCCGGTGCCATTGCCATGGCAGCGCCGCCATCTTTGTCCCGGGCACAGCCGCGTTGCCACAGCGACGCGGCCAGAAGGGAGCAAACGCCGCTTTGTTTATTTTATTTATAGTTTGTTTGTTTATTTAATTGCGTCTTCTTTCTCTTCCCCGTTTCCCGGGAAACGGGTCGGGCTCCGCGGCCTGCGGGTGCCGCTGTCACTCCACACACACCGGGATGTTTCACCCTCAGGGCGCTTTGGGTCGCTTGGTTCCAGCTGGTCTGGGGGTGTTTGCCCATCCTCTCCTTCCAAAAGCACCGCTCTGAGCAGCGGGATATTCCCCCAAAATCCATGCAGGATGGGGTGGGATGGGATTGAGCTTTAAGATCCATTCCAGCCCCAAGGGAGAGGCAGATCCGGAGCCAGGCGGGATCCAGCTCCGGGGGAGATGCTCTGCAAGCAGAGCTGGTGGGCTCGGGTGTTTTATTAAAATCCTGTTTGTGCTGCAAATTGAGATGGGAATAAAAGAATCCCAGGTGTTTTGGAGCGATTTGGTTCATTTGTGTGGGCAGTGTTGGTGCTGCTGGGCTGCACAGAACTTTTTGTTTATAGGAGTTGATAAACTCTGCTCCCAGGGACAGGACAGGGGGAAACTGCCTCAAACTGTGCCAGGGCAGGGGCAGGATGGACATCAGGAGGAATTTCTGCATGGAAAGGGCAATGGAGGAGCCCCGATTCCTGAATTAAGTGTTTTAAAGCTATGTGGATGTGGCACTTGGGGACAGAGGCAGTGGGGGAATTGCCATTCCTGAATTAAGGGATTTAAAGCTGTTTGGATGTGGCACTTGGGGACAGTCCCCATCCCTGAATTAAAGGATTTAAAGCTGTGTGGATGTGTCACACTTGGGGACAGGGACAGTGGTGGCCTGGGCAGTGCCACGGTTGGACTCGGTGATATTTTAGGGATTTTCCAGCCTGAACAATTCTGGGATGCTCTCACAGGGAGGTGTCCAAGCCTGGCTCATATCCCACTGCTCCAACACACACACACAACCAGAAACTGTAGGAAAATCTTTTATTTCCCTCCCTGTGGCACAGACCGTGGCAGTCAGGAGCCTTTGCTGCAGGGAGGCTCAATCCCACATCAGGACACTGAGGAATGTGGAAACCAGGGAGGAAAACAGGGCTGGGAGCAGGGACACGGCCTGGGCACGTCCTGGTGGCACAGAGCCACTGCCAGGGCAGGGACACAGGCATGGGCAGGGCTGCTGGGGGCTCTGCAGGGAACAGAGACCTCCCTTCACCCACCTTGCCCTGCAGAAATCACCTGGCAGAGTGGCAGCAGCCTCTGTGGTCCCTCCTGGTGCCACCAATGCCCTGTGGGGCTGTGTGAGTGAAGAGAAAACCCCCCTGGGCACAGCCAGAATATACAATTTACATGTATTTACAATCAGACACGGCGTGGGGTTGGGATGGAGGGATGGAATCCATGGAGGGAGGGAATGGAATCCATGGAGGGATAAAATCCATGGATGGAAGGATGGATAGAGGGAGTGGCCAGGCTTTGCATCCCTCAGCATCTCCTGCTCGGGACACAGCTGGAGGAGTGTTGCAATTTTAAGTTTCGATTTTTAGAAGTGTGAAATGTTTGTATAAGAAGAGGATCCTCCCAGGCTGGCTCTCCTCTCCTGGCTTTTCACAGTCCAGCCCTGGAGCAGGCAGAGAGAGGAGCTGGAACCCCTCAGGATGGGCCGGTGCCAGGCTGGGAAGGGAATGGCAGGGCTGCCCTGGGCAGCAGCAGCAGCAGCAGCAGCAGCAGCAGCAGCAGCAGCAGCAGCAGCAGTCAGTTCCACTCTCAGCAGCAGGGAGGCAGCTCTGGGGTCTGCTGTGCCCTTTGCTGGTGATTCCCCTTGCAGCAGCAGCAGGGAGGGGATGGAGGCTCTCCCTGAGCAGCCTGGGATCAGTTCTGAGCCTGGATTGGGGGCTCTCCTTGCCTGGGATGGGGAGCTGGGCAGTTCTGGAGCCCTCAGTGAGGTTTCCCACAAGGACAAAGCTCTTCCCACCGTGGCAGGGTGGGGAACCCTCAGACACACGGCAGTGCAGCTCAGGAGATGCTTTCAGTCCAAGGCAGCGTGGAGCCAGCACGAGGAGCTGCAGAGATGCTCTGGGAAGGCTCCAGGTCCATCCCCAGCCCCTCCTGCCCACCCGAGCAGGATTTGGCTCTGGAGCACAGCAGAGAGCCCAGAGCCAGGCTGGCTCCGAGGGGACACGGGGGTGACAGCAGGGATGTCCCCATGCAGGTGGATCCGTGGGACTGAGCAGCTGTGGGGCCACCCCTCACTCAGCCTCTCTGGG